GCAGCTGGAAGCAGGTTGTCATATTAATTGGTGGTTTTTCTGGGTTATACGAAGTGTTGTCAAGTTTTGAAGCCTAGTTAAAAGTATGGCAAAGGGAATTATAGTTGAGTGTATTCTGGAGCAAATATAAAGGGGAAAAATAAGGGAGATGATTGGGAATAGGACAGAGCTGTTTCTAAGGCTCAGAAAAAGATAAAAACAGCAGTTGTCTTTGGGGTGGTTACAGCCATTGATTCACAAGGCAAAGGCTCACGTGATGTATACTTGTAGGAGAGGACTGGAGCATCATCTGAGATGTCCTCAGATGCCATCCCTGTGGACCTTGCCCATGGCAGGGGGGTTGAAACTAGATGGTCTTTGAGGTCCTTTTCAACCCAGGCGATTCTATGTCAGAGGCTCAGTGGCTGTGCACTGTTATGAAAGTGATGGAGGAAAGAGAGAAGGGGAAGGAAAGGGGGAAGTGTAATCTCTCCTGCAAAAAAGAAGGTTTGTAAGGAGAGGCTATCTCATAGTCAGAAGCCAAGATCAGCTCTGTGCGAAGGAGTGCTGTGCAGAATCAATATCAAATATGTGCAGAAATAAGAACTACACGCAAATACAATGAAGTACGATGGCAGACCGATGGCTGAACACTCAGAGAGCACAACGCATTTCAGACTTGAAAATCTGAAATAACAGAATCCACTTAACCTGCCAGCCCTAAAGTAGCACCTATAGAACTTCTATCACAAGTACGTGCAAAACAAGTGGACGACTGTGTCCTTCATGTTATTTCCTCTCTGCTGCAGTCACTGCTGCAGAAACACGCCCTGGCTGCTGCACAGATCCACGTCGCTGGGTAAGTTGTTGTTCCTATGAAAACAACATACTGAACGAGGAGTCCAGTGCATAACAGTGCACTCGTGTCACTTTGGCACAAGCGGAGCAAGCTGCTCTCCTCCCAGCCCCCCCTCCTCACACAGGAATACCCTAATCAGGGAAATATGTGCTGGCTGCTTAGCAGAGGGGTCAGATCCATTTGGATGAAATTCCAGGGCTGCTGTGATAACAATGGCAGGAAGCAGGGTCCTTGAGCTGGCTGTGGTGGCTGCTTGCCTTCAGCAGTAGGGTGCTGGAAGCTCTTCCCACCATCTGCTGCTCCGTGCTGCCCAAAAAGCCCTGGTTGTTCCCTGCACCGTGGAGAACCAAAAGCTGACCGAATGCCATCAGAGCTAAAAGGCAGGAAGCCCTCAGTAACCAGTGAACGTTATTCTGTGACTGAACCTGAATCGCCTCTTTAACTCTTTGGGAGTGGGAAGCTGTATGCACTTCATGTGGTGATGTGTTAGCAGACAGTGAATTCCCCTCTGCCCAGTGGAAATTCCTCCTGCATGAACATTGCTATAGGAATGCATTACAAGCCTGATTCTCAGATATTTTCAGTTTGTTCTAGTAATTCAAGCCTGTCTGAGGGAAATTCTGCACTGTTTATTGCTCTTCGAAGTATATGGCAGTACACAAACAACTTCACAAGCTTGTTACTAAACTCCTAATACAATATTTAATTTTCATTCTTTCCGCTACTGTTTTGGTTTTTGTTGTTGTTGTTTTCTGCTTGACTGAACCTTCCCATCAGTTAAGATAGGTGTGCAAAAGGATCCAAACCAGGGCAAGGGAGCACATCTGGCATTTCCTGGAGCAGTGCAACAGTGCAAGTGCTGTGCACTGCAGGAGATGTTTGCCTATCTCACTCTGACCCTGAGATGACAAGGAGGAGGAACCTGAAGGCAAGTGCAAGCTGAAAAGAGCATGAGTACATTTTTCATTTCTAACATGCCATGGAGTACTTCGATTGCCCGATAGCAACTGTATGGGAAAATTCTGCCTTATCACTTAGTTTCAAATTTCTTTCTCCTCTGGGGACAGGAAACAGCACTTACATGTGCAGGCAAAAAATGTGGGAGTACTCTGTGAATTCTCTGATGACTAGAAAACTCCAGACTCCAATAACTTAACAAAACAAACCCAAAACTCCTGAACAGCACCACCTTAGCCATTTAAAGGAAATCATTTTTTCTGTCAGCGTATTCACCATTTCGATCTCATTCCTGTTGTGACTGTTCTTCCTTTTTTTTTCCCTTCCCCAGCTGCTGACAACAGTGCACTTGTGCAACTATTTCCTGCACTTTCCTGCAGGTCGCTTCCTTTCCTCCAGCTCTGGACGGAGGTTGCACCGTGTCACCTCAGCTGACCAGATCTGCACCCACATACTTGTTTCCCACGTGGATGGATGCTGGGCCTGTCAACATAAACACCTTACTTGTGAATGTTCAAGTGGAATGTATGGAGTTGCAGTCAAATGTTCAACTCAAACAACAATACGATCATGTCTCTTTACCAGTCTCCCATAAGCTCTCTCTTACTGGAGAAAAATCCCTCACTTCACAACTGCACCTTATTTGTCTTCATTCATTGGCATATTCATATGGCAAGCATTTGTGAGCAATTGTTTTCAAGGAAGAAGCACAGGAAGAGCAAAATTTCGTCAGAAATCTCTGCCAAACACCTTGAGAGCTCCCTGAGAATGGCAACTGCTGCTATCAAACTACACTTATGTGTTAGTTCCTCAAAAACAAGGTCACGTATTCCAGCAGATTTATGATTTTCTTATTTTAATTAAAAACATTGAAGATTAAAATAAGTTTTGTTACCTATATGCATTAACTCTATAATATATTTGACAAGGGCTGCTCTGGAATTAATGGCTTCTATTTCATCGTGTAGGCCTGTGACGTCAGAAGCAGATGTTGGTGGGATGGCAGCAGAGGTTGAACCTTCCCACCAATACTGTTACGTGTTGTTGCTGTGTGACAGATGGCAGCAGAGGGGCAGTCTGACAGAATGGCATCTGATATGGAAGTGCATATGGAGCAAAGGTGTGTCATTGAATTTCTCCATGCAGGGTTTATACCAGCACCCACAGACATTCACCGGCAATTGCTGAACATTTAGGGATACCAAACAGTGGATGTGAGCACAGTGAGATGGTGCACGGTGTTTTAGCAGTGGTAACAGCGGGTTGTCTCCATTGGTACAGATTTTTGTGAGTGTAGTATGCAGGCTCTTGTTCACTGTTGGCAAAACTGCATAGCTCATGGTGACAACTATATTGAAAAACAGCATTTTGTGGCTGAGAATTTGCTCTGTTAGTGTTATTGTGCTCTTTGTATCTGTTGTCGTCTCGATGGAAATAATTAGGAGGCATTAATTTCAGAGCACCCTTTGTGTATGCGGCCCTAGACAATTCCTATTCATGCAGTGCACCCTCTGCAAGGTTTGAGGCACGTGTCCGACCTTTACGTTTGCCTGGGCTGTACTGTGTCAAGAGGAATTGTCTAGGGCTGCATATACAAAAATTGCTCTGACAGGGACAGAGCTGCTGAATGGCACAGGCTTTGCCTACAGTGCTTTAAATATGTTGGTATTTTTCTCCCTTATAAGGTATGTTCACATTTAAAGAGAGCATAACTCAGTTTCCCCCACGGTCTGGTCTTTTTGGCCACTTGGGGCCTGACTTTTGTTTCTTTTTTTTATTTTTTTGTTCTTCAGTGTTTCTCTGCTATTCTTCTGTGACCTTGTAATGCCACAGATCATTCATCAAGTACTCAGTAATGGCCAAACAGAGGCCTATTACAGCAAGCATACGCAGCATTTTGCCAGCAACAAATATGCTGTGGTTAGTAAATATTGTGTAATTGGATAGCGTTACACAGAAATTAGCTTTGGTGTTTGCCAGATATTCAAGTTGTACTTTAAAAATAAAAACTAGATAATAGCTGCCATCTGAGATAGCTGAGGTGATATTTTTGGCCCGTTATGGTTTTGCTACACTTATGATTCAGAACTTAGGTTAAAGTTCAGAGCTCTATTTGATCAGAGTCCAGAACTCAGACTTTGAATGACTGAGAGGTCTGATGACAAGATGTGAATGAAAACTTGAAAGTCACATTTTCATACCATGAACTGTATGTATGTCTGTGGATTTTTCCTTTTGTTCAGGGTGTTCTTTATCAGTGAGATAAATGTAAAACTACAGAGAGTGAATGACTGATGGCATAGATAGTCACCTTTATTTTGTATCTAGAAATATGCAGAAAACAACAATGTGAAGTTCTCCTGGATGACCAAGATGCCTTAGCCATGACTTGGGCTGTTGACAGCAGAAAAGGCAAGCTGCTCCTTCACTTTTTGGGCTCCAGGTAGGAAATAAATAAATTCAGTTGCTAAGGAAGAAAGTCAGTGATGCCTATCAGTTTCCAGATATTTTGCCTTCACATTTCCCAGCCGAGACTGGTCACCATTTTGTGATACCTCACAAACTATTATTCAAGTTTGTTTCTTGAGAACTAACGCAGGCAAATGCTTTTTAAAAAAGCCTTTCATAGGAAGAGTTAAAGAAAGAAGCTGTAGGAGAAAAATTAACTCAGCTTTCTTTACATTTCCCCTCTTTGAAATTAATTTTCTCTCTCAAATCAGAGCAGCATAAAAGTAGAACTAATCGTGTAAGTGTGTAACTTCCGTGCTCAAGAATAACATAAAATTCTGAGAGACGTAAGCACAGGGATGTGGTACCTAAATACTTGTGTTCTGCTCTCACCTGCACGAGGCAGCAACACAGGACAGCCCCTTAAAACTCTGCAAGCTTTTAATGTGTGAACTCTTCCTCATAGTGTCTTTTCCCTCTTGCATCCCCTGCCTCTTTCTTCTTCCTGCCCCCCCACTCCCAACGTTTCTACATGTGTTCCAAGCTGTTCTGCTCCTTTCTGGTTTATTTGTGCTGCACACCATCCATAGTCAACTCTGGAAATAAGTGCTTTTGCAGAGACAAGAGTGGGAATGCAGTCGCGTTCTGTATTATTTTTGGCAAGATGCTCCGGGAACAATGGCTGTTGTTTGGCAGCTAGCAACAAGAAGGCTGCTTTAGCAAGGTGGCAGCTTAAAGCCAAGAGGGGGGCTGTTTCTCAGAAGGCCGTGATCCATTCGAAGCTATGCATTCGCGGCGGGTGTGAGCGCGGTGGGTACCGCTGGCTGCGGGTGAGGAAACCAAGCGCGGCCTCTCCCGGGGAGGCGCTGCTCCGCGGCCGGCCGCCAGGTGGCGCTGTGGCGCCTCGCAGCCGCGGGTCGGGCAGCCCCTGTTCTCCGCCCGCCTCGGCCTCTGCAAATTGGAAAATCCCCCCCAAAAAATCACAGCGTCACGTTCTACTGCGAAGCCAAGGGGCTCAACTCGAGTTCCTTTTGCTGGAGCGGCAAGTGAAGAGCTGTCATGTGTGCTCTTGTTGCAGTGAGAGGTGGCTTTAGCTCAAGAACCAGGCAGCCAGTAGCGTCTTCCAATGGGATGGGCGGTTAAGCAGCAAAGATAAACACCAACAAAAAGGATTATGAACCCGTATATGAATACCATGGTTTTATTCCAATAGTTATTGAATACCTTGCCTGGGAAATGGCTGTTTGTTTGGCTCTCATGGATGACTCTAAGCCTCCTCTTCCCAATACCGCAGAGGGTCTATGAGTAATTTTGTGGCACAGAGTATTTAATTATGTGCTCTGCCAAGTGAAGGCAAGGTCTCCAATTGAATTTTAACCTCCCTGGACAACTATTTTAGATGCTTTGGTCGAACACAAATGCATATTTTCTGCATGCCAGATTCCGACCCCATAACCATCAAAGAGTAAATCTCCAACAAGTTCCACTGAAGGCTTTGAACAGGCAGGCTGGTAACAGTGGACAAGAAGGCTGAGGAACTCCACAGCTTTTATGCTTCAGTCTTCACTGGCAAGTATTCTTTGCACATCCCTCTAACAGAAGGTGGGGACTGGAGGAGCAATGTCCCTCCCATTGCAAGTGAAGGTCGAGTTCACAACCACCCGAGAAACCTGAACATCCTATGGATCCCAAGAGATGCATCCTAGAGTGCAGAGGAAACTGGCTAATGTAGGGACCAAGCCATCCTTAATTATATTTGGAACATCTTGGCAGTCAGGTGGTCTCTGATGAATGAGGAAAAGGCATGTACCCATTTTTAAGAGGAATGGAAAGAATGACCCAGGGAACTACTGACCCATCAGCCTCACCTCCATGCTGGGGAAAATCGTGGAACAGGTTCTCCTGGAACCTGGAAACGGATGAGACAGGTGATACAGGAGAACCAGGCTGGCTTTACCAAAGCCAACTCCTGCCTGACCAGCCTTGTTGGTTTTTATGATGATGTAGCTGTGTGAACAGGGGAACAAGCACTGATGTCATCTATCTGGACTTCAGTAAGGCCTTAGACATGGTCCCACATAACACTCTTCTCTCCAGATTGGAATGATATTGTTTTGACAGGTGGACTGCTCAGTGGATGAGGAACTGGTACCAGATCGTACCCAGAGAGTGGTGGTCAATGTCTGGATGGAGATCAGTGCTGAGTGGTGTCCCTCAGGGGTCTGTACTGGGACTGATGCTCTTTAACATCTTCATCAATGACACTGACAGTGGGATCAAGTCACTCTCAGTAAGTTTGCAGATGATGCCAAGCTGTGTGATGTGGTTAACATGCCTGAGGGACAGGATGCCATCCAGAGAGACCTAGACAGGCTTGAGCAGTGGTCCCAGGTGAACCTCATGAGGTTCCACAAAGTCAAGTGCAAGTTCTTTCACCTGGATCATCACAACCCCCAAAGATTAAAGTTGTGGGAGGTGATCCTGCCCCTCTGCAGTGTGCTGGTGAGACCTCACCTGAAGTACTACGTCCAGGTGTGGAGTCCTCAGTACAGGATCTGTTGGAGCATGTCCAGAGGGACACAGAAATGATGCAAGGGATGGAACACCTCCCGTGTGAGGACAGGCTGAGAGAGCTGGAGCTGCTCCATCTGGAGAAGAGAAGGCTCCTGGGAGATCTGAGAGCCACTTTTCAGTATCTAAAGGGAGTCTATAGGAAAGAAGGAGACAGACTCTTTAGCAGTTTGTGATAGGACATGGGAAAATGGTTTCAAACTACAAGAGGGGAGATATAGACTGGAAATAAAGAGGATGTTTTTTTACAATAACAGTGGTGAGGCACTGGAACGGGTTGCCCAGAGAGGTGGTGGAAGCCCCATACCTGGAGACATTCAAGGTCAGGCTGGATGGGGATCTGAGCTCCGTGATGTAGCTGTCCCTTTTCACTGCAGAGGAGTTGGAGTATAGGTGACCTTCAAGTGTCCCTTCCACCTCTGACAATGCTATGGTTGTACGAACAGCACTCAGTTATGTCCTTGAGGTTGAATCTCGACCTTAAAACCCTGGCAGGGACCCAGACCAAGAAATCCATGTGGGAAATTGGAGAGGGAGTAAATTAGCATGTCTATGCTTTTTGCAGAAGTAAACTGGTGATGAAGGCATGAGCTGGGATGGAAGCTCCTCAACATGTTGGACACTGTCTCCCAGCTGCTGCTGCTGGAAATAGCTTGGGGTGAGTGTATGGGATAGGTCCATGTGCTGCTGCTCTGCTACAAATAGCTATCCCTTTTATGTTTATCAGTGCTCTCCTCAAAAGAAAACAGGAAAACAAAAACAATTTTGTAAAAAATAAGTCCAGTGATAGGTGGTGGTGGTAGGTTGTTTTTTTTATGTGCTTTTCCTCTGGTGAATTTAAACCTTCATTTTCTCTCTGCCGAACAAAAGTGGCAGGTCTAAGGAGTATTAGGTAATTGTGGTTGTCAGATTGCACATAGTGTTGGGGAAATATTAATTGCTGTGTTTTTGCCCAAGGCTTTATGCAGCAGTTCCTTCATTTACCTGGGAGCAGGTCATTTCCCTCCCGTTCCAGACTGTGTACTGTTGAGCAGCATGAAAGGATTCCTGTACGGCTGCACTGTGTGTGTAGGCGGGCATCTCATTCAGTAATAATTTCTAATTTATACAGCCATGAAAATCTGCTGCTATAAATAAACAGTTCTGACTGACTTTGCATGCTTACTCAAAACAAAATGTGTGAGAGAGAGAAAGAGGCTGGAAGAAAAATCTAGTGTAAATGTCATAAAGACCAGTGTTCCTCAGTGAAGCCCATCACAGAATCACACAATGGCCTGGGTTGAAAAGGACCACAACGATCATCTAGTTACAACCCCCCTGCTATGTGCAGGGTCGCCAACCACCAGACCAGGCTGCCCAGAGCCCTTCTGAAATCACAGGGAAAATGTGATCAACAATGCACAGTTTTTTCCATATGCAGTTTCATGTGTGCATTAGAGAAAAAGGAGCAAAGCAAAGCTGAGATCCTGCCATTTGAGTTCTTGAGACGAATATTCCTATCTCCCTCTCAAAGCACATAACCCAGACCCAGCCTCTCCCTCCTCCAGGCAGCATGCGGAATGTGGCAGAGAGCAGAGCCTTCCTTGAGTCCTCAGTATAGCAAGTAATGAATGCAAGTGATCCTCCACACGCTTTGGCAGTCCAGCAGGAAGGTCTTCAGCCTTAGAAGCCACAGCAGGAGCCCAGTCTGCCCTTTACATCCTCTGGCAGGTGGGTGGGGAAAGAACAGTCTGGTTGTCAGGGCCCAGGCTTTGAGCTTCCAACATTTAAAATGCTTGCATTAGGTTATCAGTAAAAAAAATAAACAAACAAAAAACCCCCAAATAGCCATATAAGGAGTATCCTGAACTCTTTCCTCTTCCCTAACCCACTGCATGGCTTTCTTCTGTCTGCCTCTCAGAAATATTTCCTCTGACCAGTGTCTTTTAGCTGAACCCTTTCCACTCTCTCCTTCAACAGAAAAACTGTGTGTAATTTCCTATATTCCCCCAGCAAAGTTAGCTGGAGTGCGTTATCCAGATGGACTGTGAGCTGCTGGATGTGCACGTGTATCTCACTGCATATAGTCGGTTTGCAGCCTAGTTCCAGCGTGTAAACTTACCCAGACTAGAACTTAATCAGGTGCTTAACACCTGAGAAAAACAATTGTACGTAAACATAATTTTTTTTTGCTCACAGGCAGCTTACAACATGTTTCGTTTTTCCTAAGCTACAGCAGCACTAAAAAAGATGAGAATAAGACCCTGGTGAACTGTGTGTGCAGTAACTCTGAGCTATTTGGGTTTGGGCAATGCAGGCAGAAGTATTGCAGCTGGTTTCAAATCCTCATTGAAACGCAACGCTAATAACAGAGATCTCTCCCGTTCACATTGACCATGAAGGAGTGCTTACGCCACTGCCAGTTTTGTCTGTTTATTGGAGTTTACAAAGCACATCTCCAGTGTTTTAGATGTTAACAAGATGTTGGGGCTAATAACAGAAATCAACTGTATTGAGCGAGTTTAGTAAACATGTGAATGGGGTGTAATTATATGGCAGGCAGCTTTATGTTAAACAGTGCTTTAAATTAACGTGCTTTCTGTCAAAGCAATCATACAGTCAGTGTAATTAGGTTACTTTTGCTACAAGATTAACTGAAACCAAGAAAAAGGAAAAAAAGTTGCGTTCAGATTTCATATTAATGTGGAAGGGGGAGGGGGGATATTTTGCACGTTAATATTCCAGAATGTTTCTCATTAGAAGAATTTGGCTTCGTGGTGAACTTTCTGAGCAAACATTCCTAATTGCAGTCCTTGTTAACCCAATTTGTTATCTATCTAGCTTGGAAGTCGCAGCAGTGTTAAAATTATCCCTCGTCTTAATTTCTTCCAGACTTGATGAAAGGCAGTCCAAACAAGAGCTGGCTTGCATGCGCGGGTCCTTCACGGTGTGGTGCCAACTTGTGAGGGAGTTCATTTACCAGTGACAAGTTTTAACCGTGGACACATCCCGATGTACGTTGTGCAAGAGACGAGAAATCTGTGTAAACAGATGAACACGATTTTCTGATTCATAGCAGTTGCGGAGTTATCATGTAAGAGGCAAACGTTTCACATTTTCCACCAGTTTTCCATATGTCTGATGACATAATGGCTTCACCAGAAGCTGCAACGCATTGGAGAAAGGATTTATCACAGCTGCATTTATTTTCCTCTACTTCATGGCTTCAGCATTCATGGAGAGATTGTTTGGCTTGAAGAGGAGCGTTCACTTGCCTTTCCGTTTGTAGTCCAGTATTACTATTGAATCTCCTGTTCCGAGGCAGAGGAAAAAAGAATGTTTAAAAAAAAAAAAGGTCAAGTAGAGAGAGAAGTCCTCAGATAAATCAGGCATGCTGCTGG